CCACAAACAACACCATCATCCAGAAACCAACAATTAAGATTAAGGTTTGGTACCTCAGCTAAGATCCAGGATGCAGAGCCAAAGAGAAAATTAGGGGCCCTAATGTGTCTCCCTGCTGGACTCCACAAGCACTCCTCAACACACGACCCCCAAAACATAGCAGAGGCTGAGAGCTGTAGCTACATTCCACTCAAGCTGAAAGACGAGGAAAGTGATGACGCACCTCACAAAACATGCACTCACGATTAACCAAATTAAATGCATTGCTAAAATCAACCAGAAGAAACCATTGATGCCTAGAAGGGATTTAAATGTCAGCCAAGAGAGTGTTAACAGAGTGTACATAGCATCACTACCAAGAGACACGTTAACACCTAGCTGCAAATGGAAAGAGCAGAAACAGCCTCAAAAAAGACACATGCTGAGAAACATTTAGAAACCAATCTATGCAGAACCTCTCCCACAGCTATTGGTTGGAAACCTCTGAATATCTTAGACAAAGCAGTGAGAGAAGCACCACAGAAGGAGGGCCTCTCACAAGTAGGAATGTCTCCTCCACACATAAATTAACTAACTTACTGAGCGCTTCAGGAAACCTTAATTAAGACCTACAAATATGGCACATTAGAGCTTCTTCAAATGACTTGTTCTCAGACCTGTAGGACCAGGGGCAGACCAAGGAAGGAAGGATTTGATGGACTTAGCCACTAAGGGCCAGACACAGTAGGAAAGGAAAAAGGGGAAGAGGGAGGGACAGAGGGATTGGTGGCTTGGGGATGCTTAAGAAGCATTTCATCAAAAACCTCATCACTCAATGGTGTGATTCCTTCAGAGGTTGCATGTTTGAAGAGCAGATGTCAATTTAGGGAGGGAGAGACAGGACTGAATGAGAGTTGTTTCTATCTGTGAGTCTTGAAGCGAAGGCAGAAGACAAAGAATGGCCTCTAGTTTGGAAATACTATCATAGACATGGGAGGAACAATAGGAAGGAGTACCAATTGGTGAGCCTAGAAGAATAAAGCCCTCCTGGGTGGTGTGAACGTAGATAAGAGAGGAGAAGTAAGGCCAGCAGATGTGTAAAGGAGACATTTAGATCTATTGAGGGAAAGAC